GCATGCTAGCTAGCTAGAATTTTGGGGCGGTACTGTGGGCCAAGATATCTTCAATGATCATTAAGCCTATAATAACTATAACTACTATTCCATTTGTTTCAATCTGTGACATACTTCCCTTATTAGTTCATTTGAAAAATGATATTAATACATTTTTATATTTGGAAACAATTTAACATTAAAATATTCCCGTTTATTCATTTAACTCATAATAAGAAGCTTTTACATCCAGACAAATTAAATGCCCCACAAAAGCTTTTACCCTTCAAGTTTTTAAAATCACACATTTTAAAAAAAAAATATTTTTCTTAAACTTCGTACCGAATCAAATTTTGTCACAAAAATTGAAACGGAAGTAGTAATATATAAAGGGTTTTTCTCATAGGCATGCTAAAACTGTAGTGGTCCAGGTCCAACATTTGGGCCTCACGGTATTTGACGGGGCGAAATGCAGCAATAGCCATTTTAAGCCTGGTATTTAAAATATATTCACAATTTACAATGTATTTAAATTTTAGCCAATTCACCCAAACTTGAATTTGGAAATTCAGGACTTCGTGTCCTGAATTTGTTAGCTGCTAATTTAAAATTCAGGACATAAGATTCGAACTTTAGGACACGATGTCCTGAAGTTTGAATTTTGAGGTTTAAACTCTAGAACTTCGGAACTAAGTATCATGAATTTGGAAATGCAAGACTTAGCTAGCATTTGGCCATAGATTCCAAATTTGTTTTGAAAAATCTGATTTTAGTGAAATTTGGTTTGAAAATGAAAATGTGTTTGGACGTTTTCAAAACATATTTTCCAACTTTATTTTGGAAACACATGTATATAATTCCAAAGTTTTGGGATTTTGGCCCAAAATCAGCAATTGGGGTGATTTTGGGATTCGGGATTTGAAATTTGGGATTTTGTCAAAATGTGAGCAAAATTTATGACCAAACGTGAGTTTTAAAAATAAATTCCAAATTTATTTTGGCAAAACTCATGGCCAAACGGGGTCTTAATGTCCTAAATTTTTGAACTGCTAATTTGAAATTCAGGACTAAGAGCCTGTTTGGATATAAGAAAGTTTTTCCATAAAATTTTCACTTTTTTTTCGAAATCAGCATTTGTTCATAAAATTTTCAATTTCCACTTGAAGATGCATTTTGGAAATTTTCGAAAATTTGAAAAACTCCAAAAAGTTGTTTGTCAAAATTTTCACTCAAATCACTTACAAAACTTAAAAAACAACCCAAAATTATATTCATGTCCAAACACAACTCTTTAATTTCAAATACCATTTTCACTTGAAATTTTTTTCCCCCTATTCTAGAATTTTACAGTTCTTATGTCCAAACACCTACTAAGTGTCCTGAATTTCTGAACTACTAATTTAAAATTTAGGATATAAGATTCGAATTTCTGGACACAATTTTCGCTTTTTAGGACACGATGTCCCGGAAGTTTGAATTTTGAGGTTTAAATTCTAGGACGTCGTGTCCTGAAGTTTGAGCGAAATTGGCTAATCTTTTAATACATTGTAAGCTATGAATATATTTTAAACAACTGCTTAAAAGTGGCTACTTGGTGTATATGTTTGACATGTTGCGTAATTTCCCTATGATTTAACCCAAAAGGCGCCTGCGATACATGAATCCCTGATCCTACCTTGTATGGCTCCTAATTTCCTACCTCAATTCATACGTGGGATTTGCCTAAAGAAAACTTTTCTGTCGTCTACAGTCCACGGGATGTTACAAACTTTGCTAATTTAAACAAACTTATTCTCATTTTGTTACGTTTGTATTCCCTCCTTCCATTATCCTGTTTGATCTAATTCTGATTAATGGACGTGTTGTGACATAGGTTCTTCAAGAGTTCACACATGGAAAACAAGAGAAGGTAAGCAAGACTGAGTTCAAAGAGGTTCTTTCAGATATTCTACTAGGCATGGCTGCTGGTCTAAAGAGAGATCCAATTGTACTTCTTCGTATGGATGGCGAAGACCTTCTTGAGTTCGTTAAAAGTCCTGCATTTGAACCTGAAATTCTCTCCATATTCTCTGAGATAGAATTGCCTGATGGATCTCTTAAAGATCACATTATCAAGGCTTTTGAGAAGCTTACAGTTGATCAAGGGATGCCTCCTGCTTCAGATTCATGGGTAAAAGTTCATTTATTCTCTCTGGTGGTTAAATAGCAGATCCACACGTTCGAGCATTATTAACTAATATATACTGACGAAGTAAAGAAATTCTACAATATCAAGTCACTTAAAAGGTAACCTGCAAAATATAATAAGTTACTTGTTACAACAGGTTGACTACACGCAAAAAATCTTTTGAGTTGTAAGTGTATATAAGGCTAAGGTGATAAGAAATATTATGCATGGTATCTATTCTTACCTGGCTAATTGTGGTCTATTGGAAACAGTTTCTCTTCCCGTCCAGGGTAGGGGTAAGGATGCGTACATCCTATTCTCCCCAGACCCCACTTGTGGGATTACACTGAGTTGTTGTTGTTGTTGTTGTTACTAATTCATAACTTTGCTGCTTGCTAGCCCATGTAACTTATTTGTTACGCATTTATATTCATGATGAGAGTTCTTTGCTAATTACTAGAGCATGTTACTTTGTTATTATTCTTGCTATGTAGGTAATGAGTAATGTTGTGGAGCCAGTGGTTGAATCCTGCATTGGAGCATCTAATGAACAACCTGTTTCACAAGAGACATTCTTGGCTGAATTTAAGAAAGTTGCAGAGAGTGCCGCTCAACGTCTCAAGGAGCAACCAGTGATTGTTGCTCACAGCGAAAACACATTTGATGGAAGTGGAATTAGAAGACTATTGTCTAACAAGTTTGAATTGGATAAGGTATGTTAGTGTCATCCATGGTATTCTCTTTTGGACCTAATAACATATCATACTACAACAAATGAGACTTTTGTAGCGACTAACTCTGTCACAATAAGTGGAAAAGTTGCCATAAAAGACTATTCCTAGTGGCATAAGGCTCGCTACAAATTTCTTTCTTATCGAGAAATAAAAGCTTAGTACATATTCGTGGTGACCTGAGTATAGTTCCCACTAAAATATTACTTTTTGGCCGACTACAGAGTCTTGTAGACTTGTAGTCGCTACTAAAACTATCATTTACCGCAATAGAAACCCTTTTACGGAAAGTTGCCAGTGAAAACCTCATTTCTTGTTATGTCGCTTTCTTGTTACTGGTAAAGTTGTTGCCATATGACCAGAAGCTCACAGATTCGAGCCGTGGAAACAGTCTCTTGCAGAAATATAGGGTAAGGCTGCATATATTAGACCCTCGTGGTCCGGTCCTTCCCCGGACCCCACACATAGCGGGTGCTTAGTGCACCGGACTACCCTTTTTACTACTTGGTTCTCTTCAGACTGTTACTTAACCTTTGGTGTTTCTGTATGGTGGTGCAGGCGCTGGATTCTGCTGTAAAGACTGTACCCAAAGATCGCCATGGGAAAATGTCAAAGGAATACTTACGAGTTGCACTCGATCTCCTTGCACCATCAGCTGGCTTACCTCCCATCGGTGCTGTTGACCAGGTAATTGTCAACTAAGGATTTAACTTATATGACTGAAAATGTTTGAAACGAATTACACTATCAGCATTTTTAACATATTGTAGCGAGTAATCTACCTTATTTTTCAGGTTACTAGTCTCACTTTTTTATGTAGTTATCTCATCTTGCATGTGACTATCAGTGTTTAGTAGTTAAACTCATCAACTAATACGTCATGTTTTCGCTTTGTTAAAAGCTGGCTTTGTGTGTGATATAGTTGTATCCCATGTGTTTGCAGATGGATAAGATCATAATTGAAGCTTGTAAGATGTTGGATGCTGACGATGGGAAGATGGTTAAAGAGGAAGAGTTCAAGAAGTTACTGACAGAAATATTGGGGAGCATGATGCTGCAATTAGAAGGAAATCCAGTTTCAGTGTCCACAAACTCAGTTGTGCATGAGCCTCTTGCTTCTGCCTCTACACTGTTGCAGCCTCCATCTAATTCTGAGATGTAACTGATCCTATGAAACTAGACGCAAAAGAATAACAGGGGATGTATTATGTAAATTTCTGTTAGAAATGACTGAGAGATAATGCCTTACTAATACAGGATTTATTTGAGCTATTAACTGTTACATAAGGTCTCTGACTAGTTTAAACTTTAAAGATTGAATGAGTAATTTTATTTTTGAACACAACCACATCCAAATACCCCATTAACGGAAACTATCATCGTATCTACTACTACTTTGTGAAAATGGACGCAGATTAGTTTATTTGCTAGTAAAAATTCTTAAATTAGTACGATTTGGTTTAGATGGAGGGCGAAATTTACTCACCTAACCTATGAGGCTTATATCAAGCTTTAAGCTCACCCATTGGTTCAAGTAATTATATGGTCACTGAGTATACTTGTAAATTCTTGTGAATAAAAAACTCGATAAAGACAAGTGATAGGCTGATAGCTTCAAAATGCGCTTTTGTAACTGCTTAGAATGTTGTGTGACGTCTGCGATTTTGATTTTGTAACTTATGGCGAATAAAAAATTTAGAGAAACTCTTGAAAATAAATACTTCCCCCTTTGCAAATGATACAGGAAAAATAAAGCCAAAAAAAAAAACCGGAATTTTGACAATCATGGTCAACCCGATTTTAGGTTCTAAGATCAAGATTCCTGTTTTGTCTGCAAGTGTGAGGTCATTCTGTGAGTCATAGATGAATACTAAAAATCTTGATGCAGGAGTAACTCGATTCATGTGGTTAGAGTTGACATTTGAAGAATAAGTACTTTTTCTTGTGGTCCAAAATAAGTGATTTTTCCAGATTTTAAGAATGAATTAATTATTTTTTTCCTATATTGTCCTTGGAGTAAATAGTGTTGGAATATGTGTTAGGAGTATTTATGTGAGATAGTAAAGGTTAATATGGTCAATTCCATTGCTAATTAATGCTAAAAGGTAGATTTCTTAATCTGTGTGAAAACATCCAAAAAATCACTTATTTTGGACCGGAGGAAGTAGTAAACTTTGAAACTACCAATAGAGCAAAGATGTAAGCTTTTCATGTTTACCATAAAAGCTTGTTTACCTCGAAATCTCAACTATACAAAGATTTACTAAACAAGAACTACTAATGCTTTGCATACATTTCTTGTACTCCCTCAGTTTTATTTTGTATATGAACATATTTGACTAGGCATGAAGTCTGAAAAAGAAAGAAATACTTTTGAAATTTGCTGTCTTAAACATCCTGCGACATTTATCTAACTCTAAAATCATATCGTTAAGGTGTAAATGAGAATTTCTTGATATAGAAAGATAGTCATATTTTGATATAATACTAAAATGGAAATAGTGCAACATAGTATGAAACACCAAAAGCACATTACATGTTTGCCTCCATACATAAACATGTGGGAAAGGACAAACATGCCTTCCAAAGATTTATCTTCTGTTATTTAAGTACTCAAATGTGATGACTCCCTAAAGTATCTGAGAAAAAAATTCCTTAGACTATTAGGCCGATGTCCTTTATGAATCTGTCTATTAACATCCTGATGATATTTCCAATGGTCTTCTGCTTTGTTTCAACCAAACATGGAGGACTTCTTCCCAAGATAGACTCCTCTAAAAATTATTAGAATCTTCCTTTCTACTATCAGTAACCTTCTTCATGAAAAGTTTGACCTCTTCTACTTTTGAAGAACTATATCTCTGCTCCAAATTGCTTTCTCAAGAAACGAACATGGACTTGATCAGTTTTGGAACAGGGTGTTTTCCCCTGATTTTTGTATTGATAATTACCATGTGCACTCTTTCAGGCAACACCCTTTTCCTTTTTTCTTTTTCTTTTCTTCCTTTTGTTTCTAGTTTGCAAACTATTGAACAATTACTTACTCTTTCCTTAATTGCAGATTGTTATGACTCTCTGGATCCTAGTGGAAATATTGCAGTTACGTATGACATTGTTAGATGGACAGATGATGGTTATCAGGTCAGAAGAATAACTCATCGTTCTAATATCTACTTCCTTTTTTTTTGACAGCCAATGCAGGAGATATGATCATATGACATATAATTATAAATGAGTTTATACATAGCTTTAAGATACAAACAGCAGCACAAATAGACATAGTAGATTATACAAGCGCAAAAGCATGATCACTTACCAAATGGGACTTCAACTGTATGTGTATCCTTTTCTTTACCAAATATTACACACTATCTCAAACTCATGACAGGCCACGGTGTAACTCCAGCCGCTGGCAACTGTGGCCGAATCAAAGGAACTCGCTTCACAATGGAGAATGCTTCGTTAAGGCGTGCAGCACGAGTCATGAATTGAGATACTTTCTTGTCATCCACAGTTACTTTCAGCTCCAATGCCTTAGTCTTTTTCTTCAGCTTATACAATCTACGACCCAAAATAACTAATCCCATTACAGCAGCAGCTACAGAAAGTGTCCACACAGGGCTAGCCCTAAATGCACAAAACTTTAGAAGTTCAATTGGCACCTTCCACCACACAACGCTCCTCGTCTGTTCCCCTGTTTTCCTCTGTTCTGCTACTTCAGTTATTTCATTCTTTTTTTCACCTTCAGCTTCTCCATTTTCCGGATTTTTCCCATTTTCACTTTTTATCTCTTCATTTCCTTGGAAACACAATTCATCTCTACCCTCATATTCACCGAATTTTCGTGTTTCGGACTGTTCACTGCCGGAATCAGACCAGAACTCCCCGGAATTCTTCATGGTAAACCGGTTTTCTGAACCAGGATCAATCCAACTCGGATTATCCGATTCTTCAGAAACCTCATCGCTTCCATCAGCACAAGTAAAACCACTCATGTACCTGCTCTGAGAATCTATAGAGAAGTAATTGACCTGAACTATACCACCCGTCTCTGATCCAATTTCATCGTCGACGCCGTTCGTATTTCCGGCTGAGGCAGCAGTAATTAACGATTCAGAGTCGGAGTTGGAGTTCGGGTGAAGCATCTCCCAATCTTGAAACTCCGCTGTCTCAGCATCCATGGCACGCACGATCAAACCCTAAATAAGGAAAGAAAACTACAGAGAGAGAGAGAGAGAGAGAGGAAAAGGGGTTTTTGAATAGAATCAACTACCTTCGGATTGGGGGGTCACCCTTGGAAATGACACCTCACCCTATGGTCCCAAATATCTACTTCTTTAATTGTGCATTTTTATCTACTTGACGTGTGGATATTATTTGAACTGCTCCTGCTATCCCTGTTTCATTTATTAAAGTTTTCATGAGTATTCTTTAACACCAATCACCATATTGCATTTGTTATGGCTGTTACCGGTGGCGGCGGACGCTAGATTTTCGCTAAACAATTCAAAAAAGCAAAAAGTTGAACCAACAACTTTACAAAGATTTTGAACTCATTTGACCACTAAACTATACTTTTGGATTGCTTCGAGAAGATTCAAAATATAATATATGGAAGGAAAAAATAAATTTTGTCTTACATATATAATATAATTTTGCGGCGAAGGAGGTTCGGGTGATCCCCTTCTGCCCACCTAAATCCACCCCAGGTTGTTACCTATTCTATTTTATCGAATTGTCACTTTGTATTGGTTGCTGCTTAAATTTTATTATATTGTACAGTTAAACTTCTTTTTATGTAACAATAAAGGTGTTATTTTATGCAATAACAATTTGGTGTGATGGTATCGTTACCTCATTATGTTTTCTCGTCTTGCTCTTACTTAATATTTAATAATCATATATTACCCCTTTTCCTATTTTTTTTATAATAATTCTATCATGTACCCTATTTTTTTTTTTTGTAATATATTAAGCTTATTTTCAAATTGTTTGTGTGCGTCATTATAAAATAGTGAGAGACAACACAATCTATCCAAACATTATATTTATCAAAATAATACAGTACAATAAAATAAATAATATATTATGAATAGATGGGTAACAACCATCCAAACAAGCTAATCTTGTTTGGTTACCAAGTCAGTGTTATTCGGTAGAATTTCTTATAAGGCAAAATGTACTCAGCTAGTGTAACTACATTGTGCGTGTGAAAACCCACTAACATTTCAACAAGTATATAGTTTTGACCCCATAATTACAAAAATTCAATTTGTTAAGTGCTAAGACCTTACAGGCAGAGCCATCAAATTAAAGTTCTCGACCAGCCCATGCAGTAGCGGAGGCAGCATTATTTCCGCTAAGGGGTTCAAAAATGAAAAAAATAAAAAATTTAGCTAGTGGAAATTGAATCAGTGACCTCACAAAGGTTTTGAACAACCTTGATTAATGAGCTATGCTTTTGGGCTATTTAAAGAAGGTTCAAAGCATAATATATAGAGATAAAAACAGATTTTGTCTTATATATACAGTGTAATTTTTCGGCCCTTCCGCCCCTGTGCCTATGGTATTATAGACTTTCTATGGGGCAGCGGGTACAAAATGTAAGCAAAAATTTACTACAGGAGATATACTGCCATTGGATAAACTTAGGGCATTGTGGGCAACATAGAAATAATTGCAAAATCCAGCTGCAAGCTGGGTACCAGAAGTACGAGTTCATAATTTAGAAATTTTGAACATGTTCATAGCTTAGGTTATTTTGACATTTGATTTATGTTGAGTTATTATTGAGCTGCCTATGCCTTCTTATGACTTGAGAGTATAGTATCTTCTAGCACCTTAAATAGTTAGACAACACAGCTAGTGGTAGAGTCATTGGTTTATATTCTTTGCTCTCTAACTTGACTATATTAAATTATTAATGCTTCAGGCAAGGATAACCATTCAAAATTACCATCAGTATAGACATATCGAGAAACCGGGCTGGCAATTAGGATGGACATGGGCTGGTACTGAGGTTATTTGGTCAATGTCTGGTGCTTTTACCACCAAACAAGGGAATTGTTCAACCTTCAAGTCTGAAATTCCACATTGTTGCAAGAAAGATCCTATTATTGTTGATCTCGCCCCTGAAGCTCCACTAGAAAAAAGATCAGATGGTTGCTGTCACGGTGGATTTCTTGCTGCCTCGGCTATTAATCCTTCCGGTTCTTCCGTATCCTTTGATATGAAAGTTGGAAACTTGAGGGGCAATTATACAGCTCACAAGCCTTTAAATCTCACATTAATGGCTCCAGGACTTGGTTATACTTGTGATGAATTTGTGGACACTGATCCAACAATATCTTCGGTTATAGAAGGCAAAAGACAAGAACAAGTTATCAGTAAGCAATCTATTCGGAACTTTATACTAAACTTTTAGCTTGCAGGAAGAAAAACTTGAAGTTGAGAGAGCTTATGTTTTTCTTCTTTGTTACTTACATTACTTTTAGGGACATGGAAATCAACATGTACATACTCAACTTTCTTGGCGAACAGATCACCAACCTGTTGTGTTTCTCTTTCAACATTTTACAATCCTGAGGTGACACCATGTCGTTTGTGTAGCTGTGGATGTAAATTAGCTGACAATGAAGCAAAATCATGCATTAGGTCTGAAATACTGCAATTTTGCCCAATTTTTATGACATTCTTACACCCATAAATGTGCATAGTTTGTTGATTTTGTTGTGGTTAATATATGTGGAACAGACAAAGTTCATCACCGTTGTCTGAGCGCGAGCTAGTTCAGTGCACTGATCATATGTGTCCACTTCGAGTTCACTGGCACATTATGAAGAATTACAGGAATTATTGGAGAGTGAAATTGACCATTTCCAATTACAACTTAGGTAAAAACTATTCCAACTGGAATGTGGTAGTCCAACATCCTGGTTTTAGCCAGCTAGCAACTGTCTACAGCTTCAACAATACAGTGCTCCCAACTGTTGGTGTCCCAGGTATTATTATCTCATGCTACAAAACCTTTTATTCCATATTTGCACCGTCAGTATATAAAACTTAAATTCTTTCTCTAATTGCATGTTTGCTTCCGTGTTCTTAGCTTCTTGACATTTGATCATCCTGGACGTTTACTGATTCTATCCTTTTAAGCTTCTTTTTTTCCAAGGTGCTTTACATTCGTCTAGCACAATTTTGATCAATCCAGCGATTAGACTAAATGCCGATGCATATGGAGATCTGTACTGAAATCAAGATAAAGAGATCCCTCCTTCTGCCCTTAATTGTTACATTAAGGTTGTTTTCCAAGTGTTCTTATGTAATGTTAATATAATGCAGATGAAGTTGCACTCTTCTGGGGTTTAGATTTTTACAACGATGCGTTGTTGCAAGCTGAAGAAAAGCAAGTAGGATCTGTGACGACAGAGATACTTTTGCTTAAGGACATGAGTTCATTTACACTTAGTAATGGATGGGCTTTTCCAAGAAGAGTATATTTCAATGGTGAGAACTGTGAAATGCCTCTTCCAGATACTTTCCCTATGCTTCCAAATGGTTACTCAAAGAATAAACCTTATAGCAGCCATCTTTCTGTTCTAGTCTTGATTTATTTGACTTACAAAACAATTAATTTTTGGTCCTAGATCAAAATTTTGCGACTTCCTCCTTAAGATTACCTTTGCCCAACCTAATGAGAATCAGCTTCATCGCTTCTATTTGCTGCAATATAGTACAAAGGGCCGAATGTGAGATATCAATAATTAAAGTATATGTAACTTTCCTGGCTTAAAGGATGGAACTCCAGCAAGACATCCATTGAAGAGCTCTTTGATTTTTGGCTCAAGGGCGGTTCCAAAAAAGTGGACCATTGTTAACATTATTGGTCTGAGACCTTTTGACATGATTAACTTGTAAAATTGACAACTTATACATGTTTGCTCATAATTGTATTCAGGCATACATATGAAAAACGAGGGTGAAAGGAATAACATTAGTTGTAATTAGCTTCTGCTTTTGTACCAATATGCAAACAGAATTAAGTTTTAGAGCCAGTTCAGGTAAATATTTGACAAATTGTTACTGACATCCAATCGTGGAGTATTTCTTATTTCTCTTTTCTTCACTAATTAACTCACATGGAAAATAAAACCATAGGCATTCTAATAAAAAAGCCACACAAATTTGGATACACCCATAGGATCACTCCTCATATTAACAGCTGTTCTAGAAGGGACAGGACGCAAGCAGAGGCAGATGGAGCTTAATTATCATTCATGATAGCGTAAATATACAAGTGGAAAATTACTAAAATTTCAAGAGATACTAAATTTTAAACCTATAATTTCAAAAGTGCAAGAAGTTCCACGATAATACCCTAAAAATTTAAACTCATTTTATTTAGATTTTGAATCCATATGTGGAAGGAAGTTTTTTCCACTTGCTAAAGCCCACATTCACTAGATAGTTTCCATCGGAATTCCTTGTGCGAGCTTGCCTCGTTTTATAACTTACTTTTGGCCAAATATACTTTTGTTCTTCTGAGATTTTGCCGAGGGTTTATCGGAAATAGTCTCTCTGCCCTTTTAGGGTAGGGGTAAGGCTACGTACCCTCCCCAGACTCCACTTGTGGGATTATATTGAATTGTTGTCGTTGTTATTGTTTTGGCCAACTGTAGTTAAATTTTTGTTTATGAACAAGTCATATACAGATTACCTATACTTAAAAAAAAAAAAGATAAAAGGAAAACTTATAGCAGCCATCTTTTTGTTCTAGTCTTGATTTATTTGACTTACAAAGCACTTACTTTCTTGTCCTAGATCAAAATTTTGCCTCTTTCATCTTAAGACTACGTACCTTCATCCCACCTCAAGCAGGGGTGGAGGCACGTTGAGCCAAGCGGTGTCGGATTAATATATATGTAAATAATCTGCAAAAGGAAATATAGTCTAAATATAATAAATGACACAACTTGATGTTAACAACTACGTTGGTCCGTTGGTGAAGTAATCCAGTTTCTGCTTGTGGTCAGGCATTCGACTCCACAACTTTATTCTTAATATTTTTTTAGTATTCTTCTGGAAATTTATTGAAAGAAGCAGCGTCCTATGGATTCGAATGGATAACGAGCTATTGAGTAAATTTTTGCTGCCTTATATAGTTTTTTTGGGGTAATATTTGTACCGAGTCTATTATGAGTACATTTTATAAAAATAAAAGTTCGTGGGGGAGAACTATACTACTATATTTGAATTGTGTTTTTCTAAAGTGTGATTTCATTAAAGTAATCTCTTCGTTTTTACGTCTCTCTAAATTTCGACACCGATTACAAAAAATTCTGCGTACGCCCCTGACCTCAGGAGTTGATGTAATATAGTATAGAGGCGGAACGTGAGAGATCATCAATTAAAGTAGATACCGTTTTCCTAGGTTAAAGGACAGTAAAAATCTATTGAAGAGTTCTTAATTATTTGGCTTTTATAGGTACATTCCAAAAATGTGGACCATGGTTACATTATTGGTTTGAGACCTTTGACATGATTAACTTGTAAAAGTTTGTACATCTTTGCTCGCAATTGTATTCATGTATACTGTCATGGGCCGTTTTTCAGACACGCCCATGACCCCTTGGTCGCGCCCCACGGCGGCCTAGCAAACCTCACAATGCCTAGCGCCATGGTCGGCCCCGTGGTCTTGGCTTCGCCAAGTGACAAGCACGCATGCGCCTCTGTCGCCCCACCGATGCCTCTCGCCAGCGCCCAAGGGCTGGCCAATGACAACAGCGTCGCGCGCCCTGACAATGTCGCGCGCGCAAATCCTGATGCCTCGCCAGCGCCCAGCTGCAGGCCCATTCCAGCAGCGCCTCGCGCACAGACCCAGATGCCAAGCACCAGCGCCTAGCCTCAGGCTAACACAGCAAATGTCGTGCGCGCAGACCCTGACCCGTAAGACAAAGTTGCTGCCATCGGACTTAGTTCTACCTTGTAATAAAGTAAGTCCTTTTCATTGTAATTATAGGCTAGTTTACATCATTTCCATTTCAGTGTGCTTTATTAGGACTAGTCATGTAATGTTGGTTTATTTTTTTTAAGCATTATTAAGGATGACCAAACAATCAATCATTTTCAAGCAAGCATTTTTCTTGTGTCTCTCCCCCTCGACACCGCATCTTTTGTAATCAGCATTTCAGTCATCAATAAAATCATCATCATCATTCAAAACTCAATTCTCTCTCAGCTTCTGCAATTGCTCGTGACATTGGTTTTCCCGTACGGCACTGACAATCTAGTCTAGCGTGCGGAGGGGATCTCATTGGCGGACAGCAACCGCACTGACATCGGTTGCTTAGCCTTACGTTGCCCTTCCAAAGAACATCAGGAAGGCATTGCGTAACAGTTGGTATCAGAGCCTAGGCTCGACATCGGACGAGGGAACACATCAGTCCAGGTTTTTACTAGGTATAGCAAGGACCATAGAAATAATAAGAGACTACTAATTATAGTATTAATTCGAAATTAGCATGAATTAACTCTTACTATAATTAATTGCAGTTTATTCCACTAAAAAACTGCAATTGAACTCCTCAATATGAATTTCTAAAATTCAGTAACACTTATTTTAATTCCCTATGTTAAGATCTCAAATACCAGTTAATTAAATTAAATCACTGAAAATTTAATATAATCAACTAATTTAATCCTTTATAATTCCGCTTAAACCATTTCATGTGAGGGATACAAAATTCACCGGTCGGGTTTTCACATGAAAGCTTATAAGCTTACATAAAGGGGGTATAATCAAACTCAAAATCGAGTCATGGATTCTATCAACTAATTATTATTTCACAAATGTTATTCGTTATTATCCAATCTATTAGGCATACACTAACTCTGAATAGAGTCGTACCTTTTGATAAATCAAAACAATAAACAAATTACATTGATCATAATAATTATATCAAGATTATGAGTATAAGTTCATTTAATGAATTAGAGAAAATATTTTATATATATTCAGTACAAAAACATATTTCTGTATTTGGTCCATTCAATATACACTAAGTATACTAGCACAAGAAGTCGGAGTAAAATCACTCCCATAATCAAGACAAATTATACTATAATCTTGTGCTACAATCATTAAAATATTTTGTCCAATAACATCTTTGATTGTGAACATAGTTTATTAATTATGAGAACCGACAATTTAATCTTTTGTGTATGAGCTAAGACTCCATACACTAAATTGTCTACTATATAACTAAAAGGACACACATGTAACAAATGATCTATTTAAAGTAGGACTTTATTGAATTGAATAAAGTAAATAAACAATTGTTTCATAAAGAATAAAACAAAATACTATGTCTAAATCGCATAGTTAATAGTATATTCCAACAGTTGCAGATAGAGACAGACCTAGGATTTCTAAAATACGGGTGCAGAAAGAAGAAGAAAAAGCACTAAGTTGGTATTGATCCTTGTTCCGTTGGTTAAATAACCCAATATTCAACTAAGTACACCACTCAACTCTTTTGGAGCATGGGTGGTGACAGATAATATTAGATCAATTCTAAAAAATATATAGTATAANAGACTGCGAATTAGGATGCAGTATATTCAGAAAGAAAGAAGTTCTAGAGTGTTTTTTCGTATCTTGAAGATGCAGCCTTGCCTCAGAATTTATAGGCAAATATCAGAAGAGGTGTCTGGGAAGGTGCCTTTTCAGAAAATACGCGGCCTGCCGCGGTTCTACCGCGATCGTGGCCAGAGAGCCTCTCTGAATCTGACTGCCGCGATTCTACCGCGGTCGCGGCAGAACCGCGGCCAGCGGTGCATTTTCAGTAGTAATTTCGATCGATCATTTGACGAAGCCGAAGCCAAAGCCAAGCGACGACGGCGGCGCGAGAGTTCATTCTCTTCAACTCCTTTTAAGAGCTTTAAGAAGTGAATCTATATATAAGCACACAAATGTGATTGTCCTTCACCAATGAGGGACAAAGTGCAAGACAAAAGTTCACTTCTTCAAATTTTTATTTTCCATCCATTTTATTTCCCTCCATTTCCAATTCACACTTCTTCTACTTTAAAGCCCAATAGCTTAAAGTCCAACATAAAATACCCAATATGACGGAAAGACCATTAGTTCATGTACATAAAAACTACGGAAATGATCCAATGTTTCTTTTTTTCGCTTTTAAACCCATCCCGCTAGTTGTAAAAGTTGCTTGCAAACCTCCTTTTATCTTATCCTACATGATGTGTATTTGACGGAACAGAAATCTAATGCTTATATATTATTAGTGATTGGGGAGAAAATATTACAGAAATGAAAAAAAATAATTTAATAGACAATGCTTTTGAATTCTAGAATGTTGCGAAAATTATAAAGGAATAGAATAGCTGCATAAGGTTCAAACCTGAAAGAATGTGCTATTAATTGAGACAAGTGATGTGTTATTGCTATTTTGTTTGAAATAAATTTGTATTTGTTTGGTTTATAAAGAAAACTCTTATTATAAATCAGTGAATTTTATGGAGTATAATTCAAAGAATGCTCTGAGATATACTCACTTGTTCCGACTCAACACAATGCAATATAGTAAATATCATAGCTAGCCGGTAGGGATGTTCAAAATCGAACCGAAACCGTTAACTGAACCAAACCGATGGGTTATTGGCTTATTGGTATCAGATTATCAGGGTAATGAATGATGAACGGATTGAGATTTTATAATCAACGGCTTTACAATTTGGGGATGGATCATTCAATTTTCTTACCGGGTAAACCATTAACCCATTAAGAATTTTTATATTTACACTTTTACCCCTATGTATATAAACTTTACTACGTTATTGCATAAGTAGTTGTACATAGAATGATAGAAGTGTCGGTAGCTAATGGAAGTCGTCTCTAGCTTCGAATGAATTATGAATGGACATGGACGAATTCTTTTCTAGGCTATAGTATTACCTTCGTGGATAACAATGCTAATGGTATTGATTGTTCAAAAACTAATAGAGACAGTTTGAACTATGCATTTGGCCATTTATTATTGATTGTTCAAAAAAATTCTATTTAGTTAAGCTGATAAACTGCCTGACAATCGTTAATTCAATACCAATCTGCCCATTGACATATTGGATGGCTAGCGGACTACATTTATAATTCAATAACCGATAAGTCGAACCGCTAAGCGTAATTATCCGCCTTATCTGCCCAATAAGCACCCTTACTAGCCGGCCACATATAAGGCTCAATGTATTTCTCACTGACCAAGTGGCCAGGTAATAATAAACTCTCACATACGTAAGGCCAGGTAAATGTAAACTCTCGCTGACCAAGTGGCCAGACAACAATATACTCTCACTGACCACAAGGCTAGGCAAATATAAACTCTCTCTGACCATAAGATCAGGTAATAGTATCTCTCACTGACTAAGTGGTCAGACAAATATAAACTATCATTTACCAAGTGGCCAGGTAAATATAAACTCTCATTGAACATAAGGCCCTACAATAATATCTCTCACTGACCAAGCGGACAAGCTACAAAAAAAAAAATATATACGATGTTGCATATCATGTATTTAATAGGCATTCAAAAATTCAAGGGCAAAAATTTATCCCTTATTGATGGGTTGGCTTGCCATTTCGGTCGTAAATCCAATTCTCTTTGGACCAGAATTATCGCCTCCAAGTACAAATTGACCTCTCTCCTGGCCGCCATTCCCCTTCCAAGTCCACGAGATTTCTCTACCTGAAAAATTCTCCACAAAGACCTTTCCTTTATTGCACCAGCAATTAAGTGGCACATTGGCACTAGAACCTCTATTAACATCTGAAATGATATTTGGCTATTCAATAACTCCCCGCTTTGTAGCCTTATTCATGGTCCTTTAACTCTTAATGAACAATTCCTTATACTGGATCACCTTCAATCCAATGGTAATTGGGACACCAATACCCTTTCCTTTGAACTACCTGAAGATATCTCTTTTCTCATCCATAATGAGTACTTTAATCATACTTTTCCACGGCCTGATACATATTGTTGGCTTGCTAATTCTACAAGCTCCTTCTTCGCTAAATCAGCTTACCATCTTTATCTTGCCACACATTGTAATCTTCCTGCCGACCCGTCTGATACTAAATAGATTTGGACCCTTCATATTCCCAATAGAATTAAAACTTTTCTTTGGCTACTCATTCTTAATCGGCTACCTACTGCTTCATATTTGTCATCTATTAATGTTCTTCAACCATCCTCACTGCCACTCTTGTGCGAACATACCTTAATCCCTCCATCATCTTTTCTTTGAGTGCATTCATACCATTTGAAATTCTTTAATATTAACACTACTAACGTTATTTCCTTCACTGCTTGGCTTAGAATGCACTGTACCAACACTCACCAGTCTTTCACCTACCAAGGAATTGAAGTTCCAAAAAACTTTACTTACCCCTTTCATCCTTTGGCATATCTGTACTAACCGAAATCATAACCTCTTCAATAACTTGCATATACATGTCTCCATAAAAAAATTCTCTTCCATGTGATCGAATTTCATTGCCTCACTCCATCTCCAACTCCCCATCCCATTTCCACCCTCGAATATATTAAATGGCACCCGTCCACATCACCTTTTTTAAACTTAATGTTGACGGTGGTTTTAATCTCATCACTAAGATAGATGGTGTTGCTGGAGTATATAAAAACAATCAATGCCGGAGGATTCGTGGTTTCTCCACAATAATTTCGTGCTCGTCAGCACTTGAATCAGAATTACAAGCCTTGTTGATAGGATTGAAAATGGTGAACAATTCCACATATATCTACTACAGATAGAAACGAATTCTCAGGTAATGTAAAGAGCCATGCACGCAGGGACTGATCTTTACTTACCTATTATTTTAGAATGCAAGTCATTACTGATAATGCTAGCACATCCGAAGCTTCAACATATTTACCGTGAAGCCAAGCGGATCTACTTGCTAAGCATGACATGACTTTAGCTCCTTGTGCAAGCCATCAACGTTGTCATCCTCTACATTATGTAGAACCCCACTTTATGCTTTACTTATTTTCAATAACGGCAAATGGCTAACTATATCCCTCTACTTTCAAATATTATTTACATGTACCCCTTGTTATACTATTTGGCTATTTATACCCCTATCGTCATACTATTGGGTTATTTATACCCCTACTATCATACTTTGAAACAAAAATTTCCCCATTTTGAATGTGTCATTTTAATCTGGTGCTCCCACGTGACACTATCCAAAATAGGAATATTTTTGTTCCAAAATATAACAATAGAGGTATGAATAACCCAATAGTATAATGAATGGTACAGATAAATAATATTTGAAAGTAAAAAAAGCATATTTGATCCTTTGCCGTTTCAATAATAACTGTTCCCAAACTTATATCGCCAGAACAGCCCCCTATGTAAAACCGCTGTTACTTGTCTTTATTAACTTTTAATAAATATCGGTATTAGCAAAAAAACTCTATCTCTGTACAACCTTTTGCACACCTTTCCAAAATAGTTAAAATTTCATTCAAAAGATTCCTCTAAAAATTGTCGACGGAGAAAATTATCGTCAGCCACTTGTCCAATTTCTATTGGTTCTTGGGATGGGTCGGTGGGACATGTGGGTCCTCTTAAACCCACATTTCCAGTCAGTGCTGTTTATAGTACTCTAATAATGGCCTATCACGCCTGTTGTATCTGTTACAACTTCGATTCTCAATTTCTCAATTGCAGAAGTTGAAATCGAAGAGTAGATTTAATTCAGCTTTATATTCGTAAAGAAGTATAAGGAAAAAAAATTGAAAAAAAATGGCTCCTCCTCCTCCTCCTCTCGGCGAAAAGTCATCAGAAGTCAAGGAGTCCACCGCCGTCGATAACCGCCCTATCTCCACCATCGTCTTCATCATCGGTACTTTTTAATTTCTACTCTCTTTGTTTGCTCTATATGTGTAAGTATTTTATCTGATAGTCAGAAAAAAAATCGTGTTGATGGTATGAAAAAAATTAATCTTTGAATCGGCAGCTATGCAAACGGAGGCGTTACCTCTTGTAAACAAGTTTCAGCTCACCGAGGACCTCGATTCCGTGTAAGTTCTCTTCTATCTTATTTTGAGGCTTTTACTCACTCAACAACAACAATAACAACAACCCAGTATAATCCCACTTAGTGGGGTTTGGGTAGGATAGTGTGTACGCAGACCTTACCCCTACGCTGAGGCAGAGAGGCTGTTTCCAAATAGACCCCCGACATTCTTCCCTCCAAGAACTTCCCGCTTTGCTCTTGGCGAGACTCGAACTCACAACCTCTTGGTTGGAAGTGGAGCAACCCCTCTTATCGCTTTTACTCACTCAAAAGGTGAATAAATTATGTACGGAATCACAAGTAAAAAGTTGCTAGAGTTTTTCTTTTTTCACTTTTCCACTTATCTTTTCATTATTCCTGGCGGATGTTGAGATTAAGAGTATGAGGACTCTAAGACTTCTAATTTTAGTTGTAACTTGTCCTCATTACTTTTCAACAAAAAAAATTGTGATTTTGGACATGACTTGTTCATTTTTAAAATATAATATACATATTTTAATAAATCACAATTTCATAGCTAAAATTATTCTTTAACAATGTTGAAATATGTAATCAAAGTTAAAAAAAATTGACCTTTTCTTTAGAAACAGAGTGATGAGTGTTCCCTTTGAGATTAACAACTAAATGTGAAGATAACCAACTAGCTGAAGAAATGAAGTAGTAGTAGTTACTATTAGACAAGTTTTTGAGGTGGTAAATATTTTAGATGCTAGAGCTCTTACCAGCAAGAACTTGTAAGGCTTGTCAATTAGGTAATTGGAGTCTTAAGGTTTCACAATCTTTTGAGGAAGCAAGAGCTCTACTTACGAGAGATTTTGCTATTGGACAGAGGGAGTAGCATTTATGTATAGGGTTTAAAGTATGTTATGCAAAGTGGCAATAGAAATGTTGCAAAAGTGTTTTCCTGTTGGATCATGTGGTATTCGGTTGCATGTTAAACAAAATAGCAAGATTAAGATACGTTATGTATGCATTAATACTCATTCAAACTTTGAAATATTTGAGGATGATTCATTTGATTTGGGAAAAAAATGATATCCTGTTAGAAACAAGATTTTCTAAGAGAACTTTTGGATCTTTAGTCTCTTGAAAAGGTATGTTATTATGCCGACCAGGAACCTCCATGTTTTCCATACACTCAATTGTAGAGTGTGATTATCTGTGCAGTAAATGTTCACCATGTTTGGTGGTTTGTTTTACTGTCTTTTCTTAGATCTAATTTCTGACGTACACAATGCAGGTTCCCAAAGGGAGTCCCTTGGGTGCGGTTCTATGGTAATTACAAGGGTCTCGCCATTAACATTGTTTGTCCTGGGAAAGACCCAGCATTGGGTAGGGTAATTTCATCTTGAAACTTTTTGCATTGCTGATTTTATTTTATGAACTTTGATGCTTATCTAAACGGATACTTTTGTGGGGGTTCTAATCTTCCAAAAATCTGCCATGTCCATATTTTATCTGCTTTCCTATATTGACCATATTTTGGTACCATGCTATAACTGTAGAAGTCTTTTGCACCTTTCCACATAATCAGATCTCCATGCTTCACAGCCACCTAGCTCCAGAATTTTCAGTAATGAAATCTGTCCTTTTACCTCCTAGCAATTTCTTCTAAAGGTGATATTCCAACTGCATAGTCTTTGCACTGAGTTATGGTAGCTTCTACATTTTTGGTGAAGATCTGGAAATTCATCTTTGAGACGCATATGGCCTAGCCACTGAGTTTATGTTTGCCTAGACTTGATAGTTTTATTCTTCAAAAGCTAAAATTGCATTTCCAAGAACAAGGCTTTATTTTTTCCAAATCTCTACTACTAGAAAAGTAATTCTTAGAGCTAATAGAGGAGATGTGGAAACCTTCCTCTTGCTTGAAGAAACTATCCGAGACCATTAAGTGTCTGATGCTCTGATTAATTTGATGTTTTTAATTTGCGCGTTTGTATGTTTTCATATATCTCGAATAGTTTGTATGCATCAAATCTAGTTGTGTCCTAAAATTTGTAGAACTAACTTATGAGTGGTCTAACACAGGGGTCGATGGTGTGGGCACGGTTTCTGCATCTCTTGTGACATATGCTTCTATCCAAGCATTAAAGCCAGACCTCATCATAAATGCTGGCACAGCAGGTGCATTTGGGGTAAGATTTGTGCCTATAAAATAATCTCCCTTACTATTTCCCTGATACTCCCTCTTTCTCAATGTATTTGTCTTATCTCTCTTATCGAACGCTGATGAGATTAATTGTCTGTGCAAAATAGGACAATTCATTTTTTTCCCAGTAAAATGTAGATGTTTAGAAACTACACAAAGATAACTATTTGCAGCTTGTCCATTTAAAGATGTGAAAGAACACATTTACAAAATCTTTTGTCAAATATTTTTCCTATCCTTTCCTCTATGTTGAGCAAACCCTGTATAAGTTATTCTTTTGATATGTTAATTTTGACTGACGTTTAGTTATTTTCAGGCCAAAGGTGCTTCAATAGGAGATGTGTTTCTTGCATCAGAAGTTGCTTTCCATGACAGAAGAATACCAATTCCAGTAATGTTCATTTCCCATCCTCTTTCTCAAATTTTTTTTCCTTTCTCAAAAAAATGTTCATTTCCCATACTTGCTTCAGGGCTTTTGCATTCTGTATGTTGTGCAAAAGAAACATATGGAATGCAGGAAATAGCATCAAAATTGACACTAGGGTGACGAAATATTTGCCTTTGCTACTATACCTCTAACAAGAGATCACAATTCCCGTTATTATTGTGATTAAGCTTCTATTGTTAACGTCTTTTCCTGTATATTTACTGGACTTGGTGCTTCAACAGTGCTAAGGAAATAGGGATTGATAATTTTATCAACCAAAAAAGAAAAAGAAATAAAAGAGAAGAGGAGATGTGGATTGATAGCCAAGTGAAAGAAATTCCTTGTTTTATATTGGAAACCTCAACAGATGATTCACCTACTTTCTGATTTGGATAGTGTTGTTCGTAACATCATCAGCAAGTAACTAAAGGTTGTTGGCTGCACTCGTGCACCTGCAGGTATTTGATATATATGGAGTTGGATCGCGGAAGGCTTTTGCTACACCCAATCTTCTGAAGGAGCTTAACCTAAAGGTAAACAGTGTTCACCTGTGCATATGAAAGAATCAAATCTAATAGCTCATAGCTCGCATGCTTTGATATCTATCCTTGTCTACGGCTGGTGGATGTACTTTTTGAGTGTGGCTTTGGCTGCTTTGTCATTGAGCTAAAATTATGTGGGTTCAAATTGTCCTTTGATTGTCATTTTGTCGAGCTGGATGGTGGTTGCATTTTGCTACAAAATCAACACACTACGTCTCAATTCCAAAGTAATTTTGGTTGATTATATGAATTCTTAATATCCTTTCTGCTCCATTTTGATTCATTAATATGAAACCTTCCCGCAATCCACTTTGTGCCAGTATTGCACATTACCTGCTATCTTCTTCCAAATACAACATTTGAATATAGACCAGCTAGACAAGTCTTACCAACTTAAGATGTGGTAACTTTTTATCCTGTGATGTCTATCTTTAATTGGCAGATTTGCCTGCTCATGAAATCGGCATGGGAAAATGGAACGTGCCAAATTTCTCTCATTTTTAAAAAACGGTTTCTTCAAGAAATTTATTGATGAACTATTGTAGCTTTGAAAGACTTTTGTCTACTTGCTGTTTTGTCAATTTATTGATTTCCATGTCTACACTTGTTTCCACTATTAACTTCTGATTTTTTCCTGGCTCGTTAATAGTGCTCATGTACTTGCAAAGTCATTACATTTACTTTGGCATATCTTAATAGCATTAAAGTTTAATTTATCGTGAAATTTGGCTGTTCTCGTTTCAGGTTGGCAAACTGTCCACTGGTGACTCTCTAGATATGTCTCCAATGGATGAAGCATCTATTGTTGCAAATGATGCAACAGTTAAAGACATGGAGGTAACCGTCTAAATGTCTTAAGTTCAGTATGTTTTGTTCCAACTATTTAGCGGATGTCAAATATTGTTATGCGGACCCATTAATATGTGTCTGCTCTTTCTGTCTAGGATGTCCGTATTTTTAGCATATAAGATCCAAGGGTTGTAAGTAACTTATCGGAAAAAAATAAAATAGGAAGAAGATCCAAGGGTTGTAAGTAAATTCTCTAGCTCCACATACTGCATAGATCACATAAACTCGTCTTCTAAGAAATTTAAATCTCAAGGTTCACTTTTCTTATAATAATAAAACAAATCCATGTGGTAACTGTAATATTTGAAAACTGTAATTGTACTGGGTATTCGTTGTAGCTTTGGTTTTTATTGTTAGGGCATGGATTTCTCTCTTTTTTGGGTTTCAGGGAGCAGCCGTAGCTTATGTGGCAGATCTGTTGAAAGTTCCTGTCATTTTTCTGAAAGCTGTAACCGACATTGTGGATGGTGATAAACCAACAGCGGAGGAGTTTCTGCAAAATCTGGCAGCAGTAACAGCTGCTCTTGATCAAACTGCCACCCTAGTTGTTGATTGCATCAGTGGGAAATGCTTGTCCGAACTGTGATTTAATCTTATTTCATCCCGTACGTGCTTCAGCGGGAAACGGACAATACTGGGTTTCCAATATCGGTGGTCTCATTAGGTAACATTCAGATTTCTGGGCAGTGGAAATGTTATGTTCCTTCGAACTGCATAATATTCTTCTAGTGTGCATTGCATCAGCCTCATATTGTTCCAGCTAGTTTCTAAAGGTAGCTGCTATTTTGAAACTGTTGTAAAATTAATCAAGAATTTTTATTTTAGTTGGAGTAGGGTTGTGCGGTTATGGTATCCTTATAAAAGTTTAGTGTTTTGAGAACGAATAATCCGCGAAGCACATGAACTACTGTTCAGCAACCTGAGGTTCAGTGTTGAATGGAAACCTCTATTTGTCGAATTGAATAATTTGAGTTTAATTTTGTTTAGAAGATAATTCTTGACTTTACTCTCACAATTAGTGCGTAACGATCCTTATATGATTATTAACCGCATAATAATTCATGTATCGCAATCTGTGCTTAACCAGTATGTGAACCAAACAATACTCTTGGTTTTCAAGAGCGGGCCAGCTATTATTAACAAAAAGAGATGAACGTAAACATAAGAGAAATATTTTCCAATAGTGCTGCTTTAAGGCTTCTCAACCAGAATTCAGTCGAAATAAACCAGAATTCCACCAACCACTTATCAACATCTCACAGTACTAAATCGAGATTAAACTTTTAGACTTGCCAAAAACATGAACATACTTGTTCTTCAACTAATCCCAAGAACTCCATAAACAGAAATATTTAGGCCCCTCCACATTGTGATGATATAACTAAAAACCTTTATTTAATAACAAAAACTATTTGGTAGGAGTTATAAATAGAAAGTTGTGTAACCATGGTATCCAACGGCAAGTAGTGAGTAATGGGGAGATTAGAGAAGATGGAAGGAGGGAAGAAGACCAACACTGGAAACGCTACCATTCTGGCTCTGGGCAAAGCCTTCCCTCATCAGCTTGTCATGCAAGAGTTTTTGGTTGATGGCTATTTCAAAAACACCAACTGCGACGATCCAGAACTCAAGCAGAGGCTCACTCGGCTATGTAATCTCTTTTCTTACTTTCTTTCACCCTTTTAACAGTAAACGTCGAACTAGATTGTCATGTTGATCAGGAACAGACAATCGGAGTTGTAAGCTAACCAGGACACTGTAAAGTGCCCCATTTGGTTGAATGAGTTGTTGTCGTTATATGAATTTGAGTAATCCTCATTTCATGAGCTAACTTTTGAGGTTGAGTTAGGTTCAACAAACATTTTCTTAACATGACACTTGAGCCAGACTCATCCCGGTGCTTGGTTTACCGATGTTGAGCCCCCATGTTATATTATACGGACATTAAATGTCCAGTGCTGGGGGGAGGTGTTAAATATCACAAGGTTGGAAGAACGGGTGTTGTCTCATATCGAGCAATCCCCATCTCATGAACTGACTTTTGAGGTTGAGTGAAGCCCGGTAGCCATTTTCTTAACAAACAAACTCACTGTCTTTGCTCAACCTACCTATACATAGTTGAAAATTTAAGAAAAAATGTATACTAGTAAGTGCAATATTCTCCGATTTTTACAAATTGGACTATCTGGTTCTTTTCCTTTTTTAAAACTTTTATATTGGAATGTTTGCAGGCAAGACAACAACAGTAAAAACAAGGTACGTGGTAATGTCTGAAGAGATCCTAAAAAAGTATCCAGAACTAACCGTCGAAGGCCTTCCAACAGTAAAACAAAGACTAGACATATGTAATGCAGCAGTTACAGAAATGGCAATTGAAGCCTCACAATCTTGTATTAACAAATGGGGCAGACCAATTTCAGACATTACTCACGTAGTATATGTTTCATCAAGTGAAGCTAGATTGCCAGGGGGCGATCTTTATTTAGCCAAAGGACTTGGTTTGAGCCCAGAAACTAAACGAGTTATGTTATATTTTGCTGGCTGTTCTGGTGGAGTCGCGGGTCTTCGCGTTGCTAAGGACATTGCTGAGAATAATCCAGGAAGTAGAGTCCTGTTAGCTACTTCTGAGACTACTATAATTGGGTTCAAACCACCAAGTGTTGATAGGCCATATGATTTAGTTGGAGTGGCTCTTTTTGGTGATGGTGCTGGAGCTATGATAATTGGCTCGAACCCGGTTCAAGATATTGAAAGGCCTCTTTTTGAATTGCATACTGCTATTCAGCATTTCTTGCCTGACACAGAAAAGATCATTGATGGCAGGTAAATGTGGTGAACGGGCGAGTTGGGTCAAAATTAGACTCAAATTAATAAAAAGGTCATGAGTCAACCTGTCCAATGTTGTTTAGGTCAAAATGAGTTGAGTCGCAATGGGTCAAATTACGAGTCATAATCTAACCAAACCCATCTAATATGACCCAATTTCCCTTCCTTTTCTATTAGTCTGCCTTTTGAAATTAAAATAACAAAGAACAATTGAAAACTAACATATTTTTCTTAAATTATTAGCCTAAGTTCCTCTATATCTAGTTAATTCTGGATCTCTATATTTGATTTTGTATGTTTGGGCTGTATTAGTCTTAGGTTACGCGCTTTGCGCATGTACCCCATCTCAATGAGTAAAATATGTTTAAAATAATATATATAAAATGTGTGTATTATATTAAAACTATGTTTGAGTTATAAAATAATGGTTTACATAATTCAAGTAAGAAAAGAATTTGTACAAGATATTTAACATTAAAATTCATATACATTTCAAATAATTAAGAATTTAATGCACAAAATTTAATTAATTAAACTTTAAAATACTAGGAAAAACTTAAATGATGATTTTGGGCAAATGATGATAATGTGCATATAGCTCCATTTATTGTTCTAATAAAATTCAAAATAAATGGTGATGATTTTGGACTTCTATTTTTGGTGCCTCTGATTACACTATTTATTCTTCTTTATTTTTGGATTAATTAATAGAATATTCTTGATTTACATAAGTTAAAATAAGGATGTAATAATAATATTTTTGTCTCCTCGAAATTTAGATATATTATTTGAAGTTGATGTGCAATTATTAAGTGTTCTTTTATTAATTAAGTTTTTCTAGAATTTAATATGGAATTACTGAGTATAATGATTTATTAGAATTTATATTTTTTTTTACATAAATATTATAGAATGAGTGCTTGTTTTTAAGGTTACAAGTTCGTTCAACTTTACATAAGGGTTTTGATCAATCGATTCACATGAATTTAAAAAGAATATCCATTGAATATATCTTTTGAAAAATATTATTGTTTGTATGGACAAATAAATTCTAAAATTATGGATATTTTTTACTCCATGTGCTTTTATCATAATTTTTCAAAGATTTATCAATTAATACAAATAACTCAATATATGAAAAACTATTGAATTATTTGTTGGAATCATTGGAAAAAGAAAAAATTTTCTTTGGTGAATTATGTACTTAGGCGGATAGCCACCACTTTTGGAATATGCTCTAATTTTTTATTTCCCATTCATAAAGACTTTAACATTTAATTTTCTTTGTTTGAGAATAGAAGTGGCAAATTCATTAATGATTTCAAACTCCTAGATATTAGTAATTTATTTATAAAAGAAGATTTAGTGCAATTAATATCATTATACAAAAATACATATTTCAAATAAGGAAGGATTTAATCACCACATTTTTAGCTAATTTTAAATAAATGACTATTGTTAGGAAGAAAATAAATAACTATTTTGTCTGGTGTGAATCTATTTTTAATGGACAAAAAAGGCGAACGACATTTCGCTAAAGACCTTCGTGCTTTTAATATAGTAGTATAGTATATAGATTTTGACTTGTCGAGTTACACTACTTTGCCTTGGTTTTTCCCATAAGTTTGATGAGTTATTTCAGGTTCAACCTGTTGAGTCAAATCAACGAACAGAGTCAAGATCCAACCCGTTTTAAGTTGGGGTGATTACTAAAACACGAATTTATTTTTCCGCAGACTTACTGAAGAGGGAATTAGTTTCAAGCTTGAAAGAGAACTACCACAGATAATTGAAGACAATATTGAGGATTTTTGTGACAAGTTAATAAGTATTACAAGATACAATAATAGAGAATACAACAAGCTATTTTGGGCAGTTCATCCAGGTGGTCCTGCTATTTTAAACAGGCTAGAAAAAAGGCTGGAATTATCTCCTGATAAATTGAGTGCAAGCAGAAGAGCATTGGCTGATTATGGAAATGCAAGTAGTAATACTATTGTTTATGTGTTAGAGTATATGTTAGAGGAAAATAAAGGCAAAAAGAAAGAAAATCAAGAACATTCTGACTGGGGATTGATACTTGCATTTGGTCCTGGTATCACATTTGAGGGTATTCTCACAAAGAATCTCACCGTTTGAGTTCTTGATTGTCAAAAAAAAATAAGCAAAATGGAATATGACCATTTGAATATGTTAAAGAGTACTCAATTTATAGTTTTATTGTTGAAGATTTTGTTTATTGGCTAGTCCATAATACAATTTGATTAAGAGGAATGAAGTCTTTCCTTAGACAAAAAGGATGATATTTTGATCTAAATTTGATTGTCATTCATGAATTGTTTATGGATAATACTACGTCGTAAAACAAATATATATTAGACTCCAATTTAAAGCTAAGATTAGTATTAAAGTAAGGTTTGACTGTGTACGGATTCCTTTGAGCTTTTTATTACTCCCTCTCTCTCAAATTATAATAGTTGTCTCAAATTATTTATCATTAGAAGTTCAAGAGTAAATTAATTTTTTTTCCTATTCTACCCTTAATAATAATTGTTCTTGAAGACAACAAATACCTTAATTATGAGTAAGTATTAAATGAAGAGAGATTATATCTTACTCCCTCCGGTCCACAATAAGTGACCAATTTTTCTTTTTATTTTGGTCCAAAATAAATATTCATTTATATAACCAAGAAAATATTCAATTTGTTTTTTCAAAATTACCCTTATGTACGTATCCCTAAAAAGTCTTTTACTCCTCACATTAATTATGCTACAACATTTAATTAAGGGTAGTTTAGCCATCCTAATTATTTTTGTCTAGAATTTAATATTTCCTTAATGGGTGTGCCCAAGACAAATTGGTCACTTATTGTGGACCGGAAGAAGTAAGACATAAATAAATGTAAAATAATCAAAAACCATTTCTATTCAATATTTTCTTAAGGGGCGTGTAAAATAGAAACCTGACATATAATTTAAGATGAAGTATGTATTAGTAATAAATATCCACATTTATACGTACTCTGCTCGGATGGTTTTATGTGAAAAAGAAACTTCCTTAAAACAGAAGAATATCAAAAACTTATACACAAACTTCATTTATTCCACATCTCATATAATACAAACAAGAATACA